TTGAAATGTGTTCTTTGTAAGCTGGACCGTTCTGAAACATTTTAAATGATTAATTACTGATTGTTCTATTTTAGCATTCATTAAAGTAATAGTAAGGACAATGTCCTGCTAAAGGCACCCACAAAAAAGGGGTTTGTCTTTCATTAGCCTGGAGCTTAAAAAACAAGCGTGTACCCAGGATGATACTAAAAATGTATAACAAATAGTATGACATAGGCACCAACTGAATGGACTCTGGCTATAAACTACTATAAGAATTTTAGAGTATTATAAGAAAATACAGACGAATTTTTATATAAGCATAGAGTGGAAGAGATATTTCTAAGTATGAATACTAAAGTCAGAAAACATAAACACTGATACACCTTTCATATACAAAATGTTGATTAAATCCAAAGGATATCAAAAACAAAATTAAAAGCATGACAAACTAGTAAACAAACATGTTCAGGGTGGCCTGTACTGCTGGGTAGCACTGAACATCTTCCTCCCCACATGCACACTGGAAGCCAGAGAAATTGGAGCGTGTACCAAACACTCAACTAGAAGCTTGAGATAGAGTAGAGAACATGTAAACAAGGCCCCTGCTATTCTGAAGCATACATTCTGGTTGCAGAAAGAGTTAATCAACAATAAAACAAACATAACATCATTTCAGATAACCATAAATGCTTTTAAGAAAATTAAGCACGTTTTGTAGATAGAGTGACCAAGGGTGGGGGGATTTTAAACAGAGCACTCAAAGATGTTCTCTAAAGATTTGATACTCAAGCAGAGAACTAAATGAAGAGGAGCCAGCCATTGGAACGACTGGGGAAAGTGCGTCCAGGCAGAGGGAACAGCAGCAAAATAAACCTAAAAAGGAAAGGAGGTTAGAGTGTTAGTTGAAGGACTCTTTGAAGGCCAGTGTAGCAGGAGCAGGAAATGTAGGACATCAGATCAGAGAGAGACACCAGGAGATGAGGTCACAGAGGCAAGCATTGTTCAGATCTTATAAGGCCAGGTCATAAGTACAATGGAAAGCTATTGGAGGGTTTTAAGCAGAAGACAGAAGTGATTTGATTTACTATTTAAAAAGGTAATTCCGGCTGCCATGTGGAATGTGAATTCTAGGGCGAATGCTAACAGGCAGCTGGGAGACTTGCCAGTGGTATCTGGTATCTTGGACTTGGGAGGTTATGGTGAAGAGAAGAGAAATGATCATACCGAGAATATATTTAGAATTAAAATCACAATGTTCTTCCCTGTGCTGAGATTCTCCTTTCAGAGCTAAAACCTTGAAGGTTTTATTTTCATAAGGGATATCTTTCCCATTGATAAGCTCATTTTAAATATGTCATTTCTAAATAATGGCAAACTTTTGAAGTAACATAAAAGAAAGCTGGCTTCTTTTCAATGTCTAATATTCATGTTGCTGAGAAAAGATAAAGTTACATTTTATCTGGAACTTAATGAAATCCTTTATCATGTGTTCCTATTCAAGTTTCTGACGGGAATCCTATAGCCCCGATAGTGAAGAGCTAAACGTTCTTTGTGTAACATTTGTCTAGGTGCTGGTGCTCAAAAGGCCCTTTGTACTTAAAAAAGCTTCACAAAGTATGTTTACCATGTGTCTATGCAAGCAAACGAACTGAAGTCACAGAATTTAGTAAGTATAGATCTCAAATCTAAGTAACTACGAATACTACAAAAGATGTCCTCATGGAACCTTCCACCAATACTCTGCCTTAAGCCCTTCCTGCAGTTGTATTGACTCCCCTTTGGATGCTGTTCCATCTTTTTTTCCCCCAGGCACACATTATCCAAGCCAGCTGTAATGATGTGAAAGACCACCACACAGTTTCTACTTAGGAATGAGATCTGAGGGTCCTCGCTTTGCCAGAAGATGGCTACCTGGCACAGAGCCTACCATTTGTCTCTCTGAGAATTGGTTTTCTTACTGTTAAAAGGAGGAGATTGGACTAAATAATGCTAAAACTATTGCCAAGATTTTAAAACTCTTTGCTGATTTTTCACACGTGGTCAACATAATCCATTACTTGCTTTAACAGCCATTTTTGTGTTGAAAATTGCCAAATCTGTATCTCAAGTTGAAGTATCTCTCACGAGGACCATTCTTCCTCCTGAACATCTCTACCTGTGTATTGTGTAAGCACCTCAAGCACGTTACGTCCAACATGATTCATTAACTTTCTCCAGTAACTGGTAACTTACTCCTTTTTCTGTATACTTTCCTCGCATGGTCTGAGCATCTCTCCCCCTTTAACTCTACTAATACACTTTTCTTGCAAGTAATAATGTTCTTATCTTTCAAGACTCCACTCAAGTTAGCTTCTGATATGAAATTTTCACAAGCTCACTAATTCTCCAGGAACAATCTTCTCCTCCCTGCTATGGTATGCTGATTAGACTGGTTATCAGAGCACCCACAGGAGTTTTTGGCACCTGTCTATTATGTGTTTACATTTTGAACTTTTCAAGAGCAGGGATAGTTTCTTATTTCCTCAAGATCCTACCTCAAGCTTAGAATGTATCATATTCATATTGAATGAACGAGTGAAAATGAAAATTCTATGATCTGCAGATTGCCGATGTCATTATCCTACCTGGCATATGTCGTCCCACCAATGGTCTCGTCAAGACATGGAGAAGCCACTGGCTCTCTTGCCTCTTGCCCACGCTCACCTGCTTATGAATTCTCTCTATATAAATGCCAGCCTTCATTTGTTTGCACACATCCTTCTGCTGTGGGAATTCAATGTCTGTTTCATGTATGTTCTGTTTTGCACAGTGCAGAGACCACATTTTCTGTTTCTTTCCTATCTTCTCTGAGGTTGAAGTTAGAATAATGATGTCTAGTCCTTTTTTTTTTTTTTTTTTTTTTTTTTTTTTTTTTTG